GTCAGCTTGAGTGGATTGAGAAGCACCTAGGAGTCAGGGAAGATTAGATTGTGAAATCTCTGACCTAATGACGAGTTTAATCCCTCGATGGATTCCTAACTTGATAATATTATTGAGTAGAAAAGTAGAACGTGTGGCCTAGATGAAGGAAGCAGGTCCCTGGAGGCGTGTCCTTGGGGGCTATACCTTGACACCTTCCTGCTGTCTCTGCTTCCTTTCTACCATAATGCCAGCTGCTCCAACATGTGCTGCTCCAACACGATGCTCTCTGTCCGAGGCCATGGGGCCAAGCAGCCATGGACTGAGCCCTCTGACACTGGGACCCCAAATAAGTCGTTTCTTCTCCGGTGTTCTCTCTGGCACTCTAGTCATAGCTCTACAAAAAACAGTGGGTTCACTGTGGTCCTTGTTTGGTATCCAAGGCATCTAGAAACTCCCTTACAGGTGTGTATCTATGTGCTATGACACTCCCAACTCAAAAAAGAAAGAAACCCCCCAATTGTCTGGCGTTCAAATCCAGGCATAGTCTTCTGTATTCCTTCCTTAGACTCTGCCTCATCTTGTGAGGGTGCCATCTTGCTCTCTAATACTTTATTAATCTAACCTCTCCTATTTTCCCATTTCAGTTTACTTAGACACATCATTTCCAACAAATAGACCTTTGTCTTACATAATTAAACATAATATATTACCATTGTCTCTATATTACTAGACTCTAAAGGTTTATTGTTTTATCGATAGCAGTTATCCTATTAGATGGCAAATAGCAGCATCCTGATAAATGATTTCTCAGGAAAATATGAAAAGGCTATATCTACACATACAATAATATGCCTTCACTTACAATTTCTGTGAGTTTTACTTAATGGTTTTCTTTTCTTCAAAACCCAACTTAGTGTTTTTATTTTTTTCAGAAGCATACTAAAATGCCCACCTCACCACCATACCCCACATACTCACACTCTTGACAACACTATACTTTTTTGGAATGTTTCTAGGCATTTCTAGATATTTTTATTTATTTTTGGACTATAAAGTAGTTTGTGGCAGACCAGTGATCAAGAGGGGTGGTATACATTAAACAAATTCCATGTTTGAATGCTTGAAGGCATCAGAGAATAGCCAAAGCTATGCAGACCGGAAGGTCCAAGATGTGCCCCCAGCAGTCTATATTTCACATCCCTGCTTAGGCATGGACTAATTTTTAGCAACTTTTCAGAGGCTGAGAAGTCAGGCAAAGGTTGGTGAGGTGGAGAGAGGAGCTGGCTGAGCATTGGTAGTCTCCTTCAACTAGGAAACGAAAACTAAGCTTGGTGACCACCAGTGTGTCTTGTTTAGAGAGCTGAAGGGTAGGCACTCACAGGAGCAAGCCTGACACTTAGAAGTTCTGTCTCCCTTCAGATAGTTACCTGAAAGGCTTAAAAGCCAATTTGATACCATGTGGAAATCACAATAGAGTTTTTTTTTAGCAGTCTTTTAGTCCCGGAGAGATAAAAGCAATAGGTTATATTAAACACGGTGAGATCTGATAATAGCTCTGAACTTTTAAATCAGACCTAAACAGCTTTTGTCTCTAGTTGGCTTGGGCTGAAGAGTTTCTTCTCTGGGTGTCAGTGAGATGATAGGGTGAATTCTGCCTGTAAGTGATGTAAGGAACCTCTCCAGTGTTTTGTGCATCTCTAGCAAACACCAAACTTACTGAGAATACAAAGAAAAAAAAGCAGTGTTTTTAGTCAGTCTGACAAGAAGCACCCTCAGAAGCAACTTTGTAAGGAAAGACATATTTTGCCTCACAGTTTCAGAGGCATTAATCCATGACTAACAGGATCCACTGCTATGTTTCAATGATAAGGCAGATATCACATGGTGAGAACATATGATGGAGCTTACCTCATGGCAGCCAGGGAGCAGAGAGGAGGAAATGCCTTTGCTAACCAGCCTCCTTGTTAACCTTTTCATTCCATCTGGGCCCCAGCTTATTGAGGGGCACTGACCACCTTCAGGTTGAGTCTCTCTCCCTCACGTAATTCTATCTAGAAATGTCCTCTCAGACACACCCAGATGTGTGTGTGCTTCATTAATTTTCCAGGCAATTCTCAAGCCAGTTGAGTTGATAGTCAAGTCACAAAGGGGAAGACAGAGACTATAATAGTCCTACAGGAAAATCCCATGCTGGAATCTATAGCCTGAGTTTTCTCTCTGGGTCCCACCAAGCCCTGGCAGTCCAACAGCCCACTTACAAAATAAACACACAGACGCTTATATTACTTACAAACTGTATGGCCACAACAGGCTTCTTGTTATCTAGTTCTTATATCTTAAATTAACCCATATCTATTAGTCTATAAGTTGCCACGTGGCTCGTGGCTTACTGGTACCTTATATCTTCCTTGTCATAGCGGCAGCTGGCAGTGTCTCTCCGACTCAGCCTTCCACTTCCCAGAATTCTTCTCTGCTTGTCCAGCCTATACCTCCTGCCTGGCTACTGGCCAATCAGTGTTTTATTTATTAACCAGCCAGAACATCACATTTAACATACAGAACATCCCACAGCAGGAATTCCCAAGCATTGCCTTACCATGTTCTAGAAAATAGATAATGGGGCTGGAGCTGGCTGTTTTCCAGAAGAGTGGGCTCCATTCCTGGCACCCACAATGTAACTCGTAACCATTTATAACCCCAGTCCCTGGGGATCTTCTGGCCTGCACAGGTAGCAGACACACACGGCACACAAACATACACGTACAGGCCAAACACCTACACACATATAATAAAAATACTTTTTGAAGTTGTTTTGTTTTTGTTTGTTTGTTTTTTGTTTTTAGTGGTTTTTGTTGTTATTTTACTTTTGGTTTTTAGAGACAGGGTTTCTTTGTGTAACCCTGTAATCCTGACTGTCCTGGAACTCGCTCTGTAGACCAGACTGGCCTCCAACTCAGAGATCTGCCTGCCTCTGCCTCCCAAGTGCTGGGATTAAAGGTGTGCACCACCACACCTCAGCTATTAACAAGTACGTTTAACATATGACATGGCAAATGTTAGTTGGCTGAAAATTAAATCATTCATGAACACAGGAAAGAAAACAAGACAAAATATACATGGAAGGAAGGCCCAGTGCACTCTTGAGTGGTATGCCAGAATGGCAAGAGAATGGGGAAGAAGCAATATTTGAAGGGAACGTATCTGACAGTCCTCCAAAGCCTTTGAGAGCTGTCAAGGCACAGAGTGCACAAGCTCTCTAAAGACAAGCACACTAATGTAAGGGAAACTGCACTTAAATGTGCATAGAAGTAAAACTACCAAACACCAGCAACAAAGCCAAATCAAGCAAACAAACAAACAAGTTACCTTCAAATGAGCAAGGACTCGGTAGGACCTCCTAACGCAACCCTGGAAAGTTAAATGTCCAAACTATGACATCTTAACAGGCCAGAGAACACCTGCCGTCCTTGAGTCCCGTAACCCAGGAAATTTACCTTCCGGGATGAAAATTGAGTGGTTTCCACTCAGACAAAACCAGAATTTCATCCCTTGAAGGGTTATACTTAAAAAGAGGCAAGGAGTCCTCAGGAAGATTTTTTTTTTTAATGAGCCCCAAAGAATCACAAATGCACTCTCAAATAAAAACTAATATTAAAAATATAGATGATTTTAAATAGTCTTCAAACAGTAATAATGGTGGTAGGGTTTTAAAGCATGCAGAATCAAAATGTGTGAGAATAGCAACCAAAACAGGCATTGCTCAGTTTACTAAGAAGTGGATTCCTTGTTCCCTGCCTGCCTGTGTATCACCAGTGGGCAGCTCAGAGATGGACATATGGTACCACACAGTTGATAGGTGAATGCTAGCAGAAACCTCCTGGTACTAAAGGGGGAAAGAAATCATCAGAAAGGGATGCGTGCAGCTCAGACCTGATTCGGAGACTCTTAGTGTTGACTTAAAAGACTGGCTGTGCCCTTGGTCCACTTGGGGACTGGTGACATTTTAACTACTTTTATTTAGCAAGCCTACCTAAGAACAGAACCTTACAAAGCATTTCAGGAGCCAAAGTGGGTTTCTGCCTGCTAACCACCTGGGGCTCATCTCTTGTAAGACCCCCTTCCCCCTCCCTCCCTAACAGCCTTTTCGAAGAGGCCAAACGTGGCAGGGCACAGAGGCCTCTGAGGCCCATGCTTAGGACAGGGTTATTTATATTGGCTCAAAGCCCTCTTCCCCCAACTGTTGAGGCTTTGTTCTGGGAGAAAGCAAGGTAGATGGAGGGGAACAGTGCAGTAGTGTGTGTCTGTGGAGCTGTCAAAGTTCATTTTCCAAGCGCTTCTTCCAAAGGTCTTAACATGACAAACTGCCTCTGCCTCATGGATGATTTTGTTTTTCAAAGGAAAGCCCTGGAGGCTACAGGCAGTTCCTAAAGGAGAGGAGGGGCTGGGATGATGACTTCAGATTTTCCTCCCAACCCCCCCCCCCCTCACAAAACCCAAAGAGCCGTCATGGAATATACACTATGGGACTGACAGGTGGACAGTGAATTTATGATACGGGGTATTTTAGCATCCCTCTTAGTTACCCAGACCCTTCACAATCAAATCTTTTTCTTTTTTTTTTCTTTCAACTCGAGGGCAAAATGATCAAGCAGGTTACAAAGCTCTCCCACAAAGTCGAGCACTTGGCAAGACTTGAAAGGCTGGGATGCAAAGAAAAAGAGCTCGGGTCTCAGTCCTGGGTCACAGAGCACATCATTTCACTTCCTGGAACACCACCTTTCCTATCAATAAGTGGGAAAGACAGCAAGGCCCAACCAGCATACTTTATGTGCTCTGGGGGGAGAGCTAATAAAGTACATACACGAGCTTCTGAAACAGAAGATTCTTGAAGATGACTTGTTTTCATCAGGCTGCGATAGATGAATAATGCATGAAAAAGAACGCTGAGAACTAGAGGGCCATCCGCAGGGCCATTTTCAGCCTAACCTCTTCATTTTCAGATGAGAAAATGGGGTGAAATACAAAGAAAGTGATTTTTCCCAACACAATGAAATCGGAAAAGGAGAGTGAAAGCATTCCTCCGATCTGCTCCATGTGTTCCATGGAGATGCTCTGAAGCCCGTGATAAGGATGACCAGATCCCAGGGAGGACCATTCCTTTTGCTTTGATGTCCACAGACAGTCCTGAGCTGGGGGAGGGGACTAAAAGGAGACGAAAGAGCGATGCTAACCGTCATAGGCATCCCATGTTTTCTTCCTGGCATAATATCAAGAATTTTGAAAGCCTGGGGACAGGTTATCTGAAGGATATGATGCCCATAAAGTTATCCAGTGCCAGTTCAGACACCCCTTCTCAGAGTGAGGTGTCCTGGGTGCCTCTTTGAGACAATTCCTGAGGCTGTCATGGTCCACTTACAATTGCTCAGAAACTGAAGAGTAAAATGTGGGTCTCTCCACTGGATCCAGCATCATTTCTGGAGCACCTGAAAAGAAGGGGGAGGTTGAGGATGCTTGGTGTGTAAACTCATGTCTTTGGTCCTGATGTCAGGTGTTTGCATACAAGTTACACAGGTTCTTTACAAGGATAGCTTTCTTGTTGGGGGCCGCCTCCCCCTCCCCTCCCACACACACTGAGTCACAGGTAAGTTCCTGATAACTGTCGGAGCTTCTCTGAGAGTTCAAGGGTCCACACATGAAAGAGAGTCATACTATGCATGTGGCATAAAGCACTTGGAACCTGGAACTTGAGCCCTTGATCAGTAACTATTAAAATAACAGTTTCCCCTCATTCCTTTAGAGCTGCAAGGCCTCAGGAGTCTTTGAAGATGAAGTGGGCATTTGATCCTGAACCCACGACCACCACCACAGCAGGACTCACGGCTTGCCAGCATGTCTGCTTTCCACCCCTTCAAAGGTTACAAATCAAAGAGCCCCAGGTCTCAGTGGCTCCCAGGAGGCTGCTGGGTTAACCCAGCCACATTTTGGCACTAGGTCAACACCATTATTTGGACCTGGGTGTTCCCCAGATCACATTAATCCTTAATCAGTGTTTTCCTCTGTTGTCACAAGCCCTAGAGCCTGCCCCAGATCCTGTGACTCACTGGTTTCATGTCACAGGGACTGAACAGAGCACATTCAGTTAAAAAAAAAAAAAAACTGCCACTGACTCAAACAAGAAACAGCCTGTCCCCAAGGTGCCAAGTCACCAAGCAAGAGAAATCTCCTCCAAATACAGCATGGTCCCTTTGTTCTGTGCCGGTCAGCCCCTGTTAACTGTACTGTCATCTCTGATTCATCCTTCTCTTTCAGGCAGGGTGACTCAGAGGGAAAGTGCTGTGCAAAGCCTTGCTCCACTTAATTGATAAAATACAGCCAAGCCAGAGAAGGGCTGTGAAGAGTCCAAGGATGCGCTGAAGGAGATTGCTAAGCAACGTGCCAAGGGGCCGTGGGTGCAGACAGCTGAGAAGGGACATCAGTGGAATGGCCAGGCTGGCCTTCAGCCATTTGGAACATAAGCCTCAGAAGAGGACAAAAAGGCCCAGCCATAAGTCCACAGATGCCACCCAGGAACACAAACCAGTGGCAGGCCACACACATTTGCAGTGTGAGAAGAGCCATGTGACCTATTTTTGCCATCTCTTAAGCATCTCTGATTATACATGTCACTGCAAAGGGCTGTGGCAGGGCAAGATGTCGTACTCAGAAAAGTGATGCTTTCTGCACTCAGCAAGCTGGACCTTCAGCCGGAGCAAACAGCACAGAAACTTGATGTTCCCTTTAAGGAATAAAGGACATGGAAACATGTGCAAAGTATCTAGATACATATGTCTGCATGTATGGAAATGCACGTGTGTGTACACACATAGATTCCCTCTCTGCATACTGACTGAACACATGCAAACACTTTGTGGTTGGGCTAAGAACTGACATTATACTTTTAAAATATTTTTAAAGTTTAAATATTGGAAACAAATGCAATTTGCTTCAGCAACAGAAAGTTTGCATAAAGGGCAGAAATCTAAGTGAGATTTGATGGCCAATGCTTGTAATTCCAGGACTTGAGAGGCTGGGGTAGGAGGAGGGCCATGAGTCCAAAAAGCTAGCCTGGGCTAAGGAGTGAAGCTACATATTTAAAGAAAGAGAGAGCGACTGAGTTAGAGAATAAGATATCTTTGACTCTCACTCCCTGGAATTTGGACCCCCTTTATCCGAACTCAAGAGAGTTAATTCCATTCCTCATAAGCCAGCTTTCAAAGCGTCACCATGAAACAATGAGTGGTGACGGCAGGCCCCTTGATTAGCAGACATGGTAAGGAACAAGATGTAAGAGGTCAAAAGGAAATTAACCTGGCAGGATGCTGCTGGGGCAATCTTTCTGTTGTCTGTGGGTCCCTAAAATCCTACCCAGGAGCAATGTGCCTTCCCCAAGAACCGCCAGAGCACTGGGTGCTCACCACTAGGTGATGTGCTTTGATTTATTTATGTTCTTTTTTACTCTAAAGTGACTCGGATGTGTGGCGATCAGGTTAAAAGCAGTCTGTAGACATAATTATGACTAGAGGCCACTCATTTAACCTCTCTGACTTTCATTTTGGTTTTTTCTTTTCCTCATTCAATTTACAAAATGGCAGAATTGAATTAGATGACCCCTAGAACCCTTTCTTGCTCAGAAATTTCAATTCCATAAACACAAAAGCACCCTGCCTCACATCAAGATTAAACTCATAGCTCTGCCTCATTAGCAATCGTTTCTAATCAGATGGGGAATGAAAGGACCGTCTTCATCTGAGGTATATGAACTTGGAAGATCTAGATTCTTGGAAGCCCCTTCTTCTTTAAAAAGATGCCTGGTTCTGGAAACATAAACTCCCTTACTCCTAACTTGCTGGGTAACTAGCTACCAGTAGGCAGACTGGAATCAAATGGAAGAATGGGTTAGCTTTGAATAGATAACCTACCCTTGAGTAGTTAGGGCTTGGGGGAAAATGTGTGTTCATGAGTTGTTATGCATTAAGCTCTGCACTGCTCCAATACTAGGACACCTAGAAGATGTATAAAGTGAGATCATGTTGGCATCCCCTTGAGAAAATGAAAAATAAATTATTTTATTGTGATTTTCATAGGAACCTTCTATAAATATTATAATCATTTCTGTTGCGTAATGAAGTCAGTTATTCCATCTGGCTGTTGGCTTAGGAATGGTTTGAGTGATCTGGTCCACTTTTATTTTTGAGTGACACAGTCATACCCAGCTATGGGTACAATATAATATTTCTGTGTATATATTGTGTAATGATCAAATCAGGGTAGTCTATCTGTCCCCTCAAACATCTTTTTCTTGTGGTGAGAACACTGCAAATTCTTTCTTCTAGCTTTTGTGGCTTGTCACTGGGTTAGTCTTAGCACTAGTCACCCTACTGTGCATCATAACCACCGAAAGCACTCCTACCATGCAGCTTTGGCACTGCTGCCCCATCTTTCTCACCTTCCCAGCCTTGTACTACATGTAGAAACGAGATGGTGCTGCCTTTGGTTTCCTGTGCCTGCCTTATTTCCCCTAACAGGAGCCTTCTGGACTCGTCTGTGGTGTTGTAATTCCTCTTTTTTAAACACCTAAGCGCTTTCCACTTCTCTGATAGACTCAGATGGATACAAGGACCTTAATAAGCCAAGACAATAAATGACGAGAAATGGCCTCTTCCACTGGGCAGTGATGGTGCCTGCCAGAGGCAGAGACAGGAGGAGCTCTGTGAGTTTGAGGCCAGCCTGGGCTACAGAGTTCCAGGACAGCCAGGGTTACACAGAGAAACTTTGTCTTAAAACAAAACAAG